AAAGTAGAAATGGAATATTATTGATGATAACATGCATGATTAAGCCACTATGCAATTTATTCTAGATGGGAAATCACATTTAGTATGTTGTGATGATGCTCAGGGAATGAATGTAAATTAATTTAAAAAAAAGTTTCAGGAGAAAAAAAAACACTAAAACTGTTCTTATCAAAAATTTTTTTAAATGTGTATTTGATGATGCAGTAAGCTATATAGCCCAGCTAGGTGCTCCTTTATAGTATGTTCATTCTATTCATTTAGGTTTATGCCTAAAGTCAGATTTGGGTTCATGTATATGTATATATCAGCTGCGCTTGCTATTGGAAATATTTAGACTAATTAAGTTCATTAGGAATCAATTAAATGGGGGGAAAGGCATAGAAAGCAACCATGGATACCAGAGACAATGTGGGAGGAGGGTGGGACAGGGCAGAGGGTAAGGGATAGGGAATCAAGGATGGCAAGAATAAACAGCAAAATATACAGGACATAAGAAATGGAACATTATTTGTTGATAACATGTATGTTGATGTGCTTGACTAAGCCAATATACAGTGTATTCTGGATGGAAAATTCATTTGTATGCTGTAATGATGTATAGTGAATTAATGTAAATAAATAAATTTTTTACAAAAAGGCTACTTTAAAGTATTGATCAGCTCTTAGTTAAAAAAAATAATCACACTGACAGCTTTTCTCTTTACCTTTTGGTAACTGATGTTAAAGAAAGATTTCTGTACTTCATGTTTGTATTTACTGGGTTTTTAACTACTTAGAAACACTGAGCTTTATAAAAATTAAGTGCCTTTTTAAGTATAATTCTAAAACCAAGATGTGTAAAATTCAGATAACACTGATGTGGTGCTTTCAAGCATGATCCTGTTTTTAGTGGAGAGTTCATAAAAGAATAACTAATTAATAAGTAATTAATGAAGACAGCCCAAGATAAGCCCCAAGACAAGATTTACATCACAAGAAACAGATGTAACCAGCACGATAAACAAGAGAGAAAATGTTTTGGCCTCTTCTGCCACTACCTCCTGCCACTGTCCATGGCTGACAGAGCCCTAAGTTCCTGAGAAACCACCACCCTCATCCGCACCTGAGCCTACAGAGGTTTTTCCATAATATTGCCCTATGTTCAAGGCTACAAAACGAGACCCTTGAAGCATGAACCTATTCAGGTCTCTCCCCATGTACTCTTGCCTGGCTCTAATGAACCTGGCTTCTGCTCGTGCTCCTGCACCTGGAAAATTCTTTCACCACCTGTGCACGGCCCCCACTGCAGTTGTTACCTTTAAGTGCTGTATGCGATGGGAGTAACCAAATCCTTGTCAATTACACCATTATTGAAATGAACTGCCATCAACTTGTTAATTATTGCTACTTGAAGTGTTTGTCGCCCACAGTTTCAAAATTGCGTCCCATGAAAAAGGCTCTACCAGGATCCTGACAGCTTTAAGATCCATGCATTTCAGGTAAACTTGGTCCGAGCTCCACTTCCTCCAAACTGCCCTTATTCCTCGAATATGGCCAAAGAGAGGTTTTTTGACACTGATTCCTAGTCTTACTTACTGCCCTTTGGTGTGGAACAACCAGATCGGCAAGTGGGACAGGTTGTATCCAACATCACACTCAACAGGAAAAAGCTTAAAGTTTTCCTCCATCAGGAACAAGAAAAGCATACCCACCCCCACAATTTCTACTTCAACTAGTACTGGAAATCCTTATCATACCAACGAGCAAAAAACAAAAAGAAAGAAAAGACCTAAATACAAAAAGTAGTTGAATTTCTTTATTTTTTTCCTCAAATTTTTATTTTTATTTTTTACATTTAATTACTGTAATCTTTACAGCATACAAAATGGACTCTCTGGGCATGAGTGTACCACATATAAGTCCAGGCAAAGATATTACCGTACACATTGTCATCAACAAGTAATTTCCCATTTTGTGTTCATTAATGTTTTGATTCCCCCCCCATCCCTCCCTATTGCTGGCTGCATTTCTTCATGCTAAAAATAATTTAGGGTCAGCAGATAATGTGGAGGTTAAGGCACCTATATCCCATACAGCAGCCTGTGTGGTCTCCAACATGGAAGTTTAAAAACACTCCATGCCTGGGTCCATGTATGCCCAAAATCCCAATAAGAGAATAGAGAAGGGATTGCAGTGCGAGTATTACCACTGGGGGGTGATTTCTTACTTTCTCTCTCTCCCTCTCTCTCTTCCCCTTTCTACTTCTGTCTGTCAGTAAGCATACACACTCTACAGAAAAATAAAATTTAAAACTATCTGGAAATGAAATAAAGAAAATAATCTTATTTCCAAAAGTACCAGAAAAATAAAATACTAAGGAAAAATTTAACTTATGAAGTGAAATTTCTGTACATTGAAAACATAAAATCTTGATAAAAGGAATTAAAGAAGACATAAAGAAATGGAAATATATCCACTGCCCATGTACTAGGAAAGTAAATAATGTTAAAATGTCCATACCATCCAAAGTGATTTATACATTACATGTAATGCTTATCAAAATACCAATCACATTTTTCAGAAATATAGAAAAAATCCTACATTTAGTGTGGAATCACAGAAAAACAAAAGTAGCCAAAGTAATGTTGAAGAAGAACAAAACTGGAAGCATCACACTTCTTGATTTCAATTACAAAAGGCAGCAATCAAAACTGTGGTACTGGTGTAAACATAGACACATATCCATGGACAATGCTCCATTCATAAGTAAATCTCCATCATCTTGCAAACTGACCTCTGAGAATTATCACAAAGTACATCATTCCAGCCCCATTGGTAGTATCCAAGAGGAAGATTTACAATCACACACCGCTCATCAGGATTATTGGGTTCACCCGAGTGCCAGAATCTGAAAGGGAGAAAAAAGATGAGGGCATTTCTTCAAATAGTGCTTCGGAAGTGGTTAAAGACTATCAGGGGGCCAGGGTGGAACAGTGAAATCTGAAAGCCAAAGTCAGATATACACAAACTGCTCCCTCCCCACTTCTGCCGCCATGTTCTATAAAACCTTCAAGATCAGGCACTTTCAGACACAGCTGGAGACCTGGGTGTCTGGTGTTTCCCATGAAATCTGTTCCCACATGACCCTGTGTGCGACATCTTACGCAACTCAGGACACATTGGACACACTCCCAGCAGATATGCCAAAAGATTCCTTTTGTTTTATTCACCCTTATTTTCCAATGCCATGGAATTATCAGTCCATAGGGTTTCCTTAGACAATCAAAAGACCTCCTCCTCCGCCCAAGAAATAGAAGATTGTTTGTTCCCACCTCCTTGTCTCCCACCAGGTGCACGGCTTTTGCGGCCAGAAGTAGGTACATTCTTTTAACCGATTCATTTCACCTGCTATTTTGGTGAGTAATTTAAGCACCCTGGTTCTCAGTTTTTCTGTCTTTAAAAAAAAATTGGACTTGGGGCCAGCAGGTGGCATGGTGGTTAAGGATGCTGGACTCCCACATGGCTGACCACAGTTTGAGTCCCAGACCTGGTGGCTTCCTTTCTCACTTTCCTTCTCTTTCTCTCTCACCGTGTCCCTCTCTAGTCAAATTTAATAAATAAATATAAAGAAAGAAATTAAAAAAAAAATTGGACTAGAGTAATTTTTTGTATTTTTTTACATAGCTGATATGAGTATAAAATATCTACTAAAGGACTTTAAAGTTTTTTAAAAATTATATCAATAATAGTTGATAAAGTGTGGAGGTTAAGGCCCTGGATTCTGACATGGCCCACAGTAGTTTGAGTCCCAGACCTGGCAGCTTGAGAATCGCAGCAAATAAATAAAGAAATGTTAAAACAATAAAATAAAGTATATCGGTCTGAAAGAGTCTCCCATACTCCTGCTTTAGTTCCCATAAGCAAACCACAACCTCATATGAAAGTCTGCTTCCTTAGTAAGTTGCTGTTACAGCCAATCACAGCACTTACACATCAGCCCATCACAGACAGCCCACCCTCTAAACTGTCCTCATGCAGGCAAACATCAAGATGTAACCAACCCAATTCTTTCTCCACCTCATCCCCTCACTTTCCCTTCCTCACACATAATGTCATCCCATGTGACTCTCCAGAGTACCTTGGAAGCCATTCCAGGCCTGCCTGATTCAAATTGGTTTTGCTAAACTAAACTCTGCTAAATTAAATTGTCAGAGGTTTCTCTTTCAACAGAGTTATTATAAAACTACCAGAATTAACTTTTTTGTGTTATGAGGAATATTGAATATTATTTATTATTTAATTGTCATGATTCTTTATTGTTTTATTTAGAAACATAAAGTTAAAAGCACAGATGTTGGGACCAGCGGATGGTGTAATGGTTACGTTGCTAGACTCCCATGTTGTTGACTGTGGTTTGAATCCTGGACCTGGCAGTTTAAAACTCACACCAGGCACGTGTGCATGCATGCCCAAAATCCCAAGAGGAGAATGAAAGCGAATGGATTGTGGTATAGCCATCCCCCTGAGGGTGGGTGGGGATGATTTCTTGCTTTCTGTCTCTCTGTCTCTCTTTGTCTCTCCAGCAAGTACACATGCCATACAGTAAAAATCTCTCTTAGGGACCAGCAGTTAGCATAATGGCTGTGTTGCTGAACTCCCATGTAGCTGACCACAGTTTGAGTCCCAGACCCAGTGGCTTAAACTCACGCCGGGCGCGTGTGCGTTCATGCCCAAGATCCCAAGAGGAGAATGGAGGAGAAGGAATTGTGGTGTGGCTATCCCCCCTGGGGGGTGATTTCTCGCTTTCTGT